TTCATCTTTGGTGTTATAATGAGTTTTGTTGGTCTCTCGTTCAAATTCGCCCAAACATACTACTCAAATGGGTGATGTGGTCGCAGAAATTCTCTGAGAGTCATGATTGAGTTCTCCTGCTTCAGGCGGCATGGTGCAGCGTCCTGTTGTTAGACATATTCTCTTTTAGCTGCCAATCCCTTGCCCCAGGGCGGCACTACGACCACAAGGCACTTAATGCAAGCATCCGGAAGTTGCTTTTTTTTATATCAGAGATTCCTTACCATCGGAATCACCATTAAACCCATCCAACTTTTTCCGAATCTTTTGCTCTCTCCTCGGATTATCAGCCAAACATTCTAACATGTTCTTATTGTTTCGTTCGATGCAGTACAAAATGGTGTTTTCAAATTTCTGGCGGAGTAAATTACGTCATCGTGTTCTTTTTCACACAGAGGGTGACCAACTGTCCCTGCTATATTGTGCAGTCGACAAAATCAAAGACGAAGAACGCGTATGTGCGAAATTAAAAATATAAATCCGCGAAAATTTACCGATCGATATATATATATATATATATATATATATATATATATATATATATATATATATATATATATATATATCCAACTTGTGCGATGGATTTCAGTGTGAACTGGTTTTCTGTCTTGGCCAGTTCGCACTCACTTTTCCATCTTAAGGTGTTGGAGTCGCTTTACATCAGGTCCAGGCAACCTGCTCTTTGCAAACAAAGAGATTGTTTGCTTGGACTTGCTGTTCTGCGCTTCTAGCAGCTTGGTTAGTATAATTTTTTTTTCCTTCCTTCCCTGTCCATTCATTCATGTCACCCATGACAGACTTTTTTCTTTTCTTCATAATCTAAATTCCCCGTTAACAGTTCTGACGAGAGGGGACGAAACCGGTCGACTGGTGTGTGTTTTTTTTAAACTTATCTTAGCCTACAATACAATATTTCTTGTTTTTAATGCCTTAATAAGCTTTTTGTACCGTTTCAAACCTATATATATATATATATATATATATATATATATATATATATATATATATATATATATATATATGTGTGTGTGTGTGTGTGTGAATGTGTGATACTCAAAGAAAGGTATAAATACATTTTTCTGTACGTCTTGTGTAAATAGCAGGTTAAGGTGTGCTCTCTTTCTTGCTTAAAAGACAGTCTAAGAGAGAAAAACCTTGAATTCAAAACCAAGGAGATCAGTTTGGAGACATTTTTCTATACTGTAGAGGTGTCCTCTCTTAATAGTTCTTCAAAAAATGTGCGTTGGTTCTCTCACTAAACATCTATCATCTCTATGTGTCGAATATCTGTCTCGCTTTCAAAAGCAGATCCGAAGCAAACTGAAGACTTTACCATATATAAGAGGTACTTTTAATACATCTGAATCACTGTAAAGGATCCCATCAATACGATCAACTTTTACCCAATTAAGTGGGCATATCAAAGTAGTCAGATCCCATATTACTCCACTATCTGACCGCTTGGACGTCAAACGTATTCATATGATTCTACAAATGATGAAAACCAAATTTCTATCCTACAAGTTTTACATCGTTTAATACAATGTGGAAAGATCTGTATTGGTTTAATTGAAGTAGTCGAGTGTTGCCCTATACAGAACCGTGTCTGATTTTTTGAGAAAACAGGTCTCTCTATCGTACAAGCAATAAACGATTTCAAAAATACCACATATCATGTCATGCTGAGGTGAGTATTTTTCATTTTTGTTGCAATGTTCTAATTCTGCAAGAAAAATATATGATTACTCAGAAATGTAGTTGTCAAATTCACAAATAAAGTACAGTGAAAGATGCAAATTTGAACTCATGCGGATGCTGGAGGTAGGCCATTGTAAAATTATAAGCGACTCAATCTTACTGTCTCGTGTTACATGCTTTTAGAATTAGTTACCCAATGTGAAAACTTAGACATACTTTGGAAAAGTAAACAGTTTATATTTTTGAGCTAAGTGGCCAAATTCCTTCGATTGGCACTGTATGAACAGATAAAGCAAAAAAGAAAGAAAAAGAGAAAAAAGAATGAAATAAAAAAAATTGCGTTAATCTTCTAGGGTCAGATGGGAAGAAAAAACTTTGATTCAGATGGTTTGAATATTGATCCTGCGTCTTGGCAAGAAATATTCAATTGCTTCAGTCAAAATGTTCACCACAATTTGTGTATTCCGATGAATCTACGTAAGTATGGAAGGAAAGTGTTACTTTCATTTATACATGGTCTCACATTATTATCTACTTCATGTTTTATCGATAGATAAATTGCATGAATTTTTATTAGAATGTTTTTTGTATAACAATTTAATTGCACATAGAGTGAAATCAGTTTACTTCTGCGCATGTGTAAAAAACGCCGTATATATATATATATATATATATATATATATATATATATATATATATATATATATATATTTAAAAGAAAAAAAAGACCACTTTTAAGGTACCATTATAATAATTTATTTCACCAGAGTCCTTTAAAGGACACCGGATCATCAGATAGCACTTCCAAAAATGAAATGAAACGAAAAATGAAATTAAAATTGATGGGTAGTGTAAGTTTTTGTAATTAAACAGGGAGTGTAAAAGGAATAGTTAAAGAGACATGGTAGAGTTTAGAGAGGGATTAATTTCATATCTCTCTCAAGTATACTTTATATTGGGGGATGAGGAGTGACAAGACTTGACCTATTTAGACGGTTAAATTAACGGAAGTGATATATTGAAATGGGAGGGGAGAAGGGAGAAAAGAAAAAGGAAAAAGAAAGAAGAGGGAGACGGAAGTAAAGAGAAAGAGGCTGGAATTGGGTTTTAGCAATTTATGTAATGAATAGATTTTAACGCTTGATAGAAATTTAGATGTCTAAAAAAATTAATTTGATGTTTGCTATCAATTTAAATATTTATTTTTTTTTAATGTGAGACCATATATATATATATATATATATATATATATATATATATATATATATATATATTCCAGTGAAATGTCCTGAAATTCAAAATTAATAGCACCTGTGTAAGTTTGAATTATGGAATAAGTTTTAAGCGTGATATGACGTTTAATCGTGGGTGAAACGCTAAAATAGACATAAGCAGGAATAATCGGCGGAGCAAACATCGGAATTCTGAAGAAGTTCATTGAAGGTCCTGTATCATCTCGAAGCATGACTGATGAAATTACATACGTAACCAACAAGACAGCATTTTTATAAAACATGTCGTTTAAAGATATGTAACTGGTGGGATTTGTGATAGCGAGTAAATGTCAAAAAGCAAATGATACCGGGCCGTTAATCGTTCTCTTTTAAGAGATTTTTTAAACATTTCGCTCCAAGTAAACCAGGGGTGTCACTAGCACGTGAGGGGTTACAGAGAGTGAGAGTAAGATTAAAGAGAAATGTTTGAGGAAAGGATAAAGAGATGGATGGGAATCAAGATCAAAATCAGAATATGTCGATTGACGTTACATTTGAATATTTAAAAATTATAGTTGACAGGGAAGCAGGTAAGAGGAAGGGAGTTACACTGTCGGGAATTGCTGGAGAAGCAGTTGTTGGAGTAGAAGAGGCGGTTACATTTAACTGCTTCGACAGTGAAAGGGTGAGACTGACATGCCAACCTAGTAGCACGCTTAAATTCATGCAGTTGGGGTAGAAGTGAAAGTAACTCGTCAGAGCAGTTGCCATGAAAATATTTGTAGAAAAGATAGAGGGAAGCCATATCACGTCTTTGAGAATGTGGCTGTAGTCGAGACGCCAGGTCAGGATTTATCACATTGCATATCAGTCTTTGGATCATGTCGAGAACCTCCAGATGAACAACAGGGGCATCAGACCTTATATGGCAACAGTATTCAATGCAAGGACAAATGGTAGATTTACAGAATTGAAGGATGGACTCATACGAATAGGGAGATTGATAATTCATGGAATCCGTTTATAAAGCATGACTTTCAACGAATAATGCCGATAAAGATAAAGACAATTAGATGTTGGATAAATCAATTTATTGTCCCGGAATTTATCTACTTTTAATATTTCCCCAATTCAAGAAAGTATATCTATCTATCTACACACGCCTGTTGCATGGCACAAAAAGGTTGATTACTCGTAGAATTAGTCGTTACAAGTTGATATGTCAACATTGCAGAGGTGATCTGTGGTGTGGCGTCATGAGCTGATGAAGTAGTATTTCAATGGTGAGTTTAAGATGCCACCTATTTTATTTCTGAATTTACTAATGGAGCAGTTATTTGAAACGGAGCAAAATTCTATCACAAAAGAGTTTTATTTTCATATACGACATTGCTCCATGACGTTCGATGAATAAAACTAAAGAATATTTAAATAAAATTGGTTTCAAAGACATTTTGCTTTGATGACGGTGACAGTTTGGTCGTCCTTGTTGAAATCTCATGAAGCATTTTTTAGAGGAAGATTTATTTTACCGACGACAATTACCCAACAAAGATTCTCTTAGTTATGATTTCCTGGAACGTGTGCAATCTGTTTCACAAGAAGAAATAGAAAAGCTCATAGATACAATGGAGGAACAACTTCTACTTTTTATATTGATTTTATGAATTCTTCGATAGGCTTTCAATTTTTTTTAACAAAATTATCTCTTTTGGAAATTTCGTACACATTTTCATAATTATAATATTTGATAAGAATAGATTGTTTCTATGAGTTTCAGTAACAAGACGCGGAAAGACCATTACTATTAATAAAAGTTTTGAGTAATTTGTATTCTATTAAATTTTGTCTGTTATATGATATATTCAGAATGCTAGTAGGGCAAATATATCAGTGCATCTCAATTTTTTTTTCTAAAAAACAGGAAAAGTTTCAAATGTCTAATGATGTGAAACGCAGTCTATATTGTAAGATAAAGACAATTAGATGTTGGATAAATCAATTTATTATCCCGGAAATTCTCTACTTTTAATATCTCCCCAATTTAAGAAAGTATATCTATCTATCTATCTATCTATCTATCTATCTATCTATCATTGCAAACATGAACTTTTTTCGCGAGCAAAGAGTAGGGATGGTATTTTATGTCTGTCACAAAGACAATCTTCAGCCAACGACGTCCACACAGATATATCGTTACTTTGTCACGTGTAAGCTATTTACTTATTTTTCAGAATTATTTTTTTTTTCTTTTGACACAATCACACTTATTGAGAAACTCGAGAAGTGTAGATGCAGTATGTGCTAAAAAATTGTATCCAGTTCGCGGGGTACATACATTTGCAAACCCTACGCATCAGAGATTGACACTGAGCCTCACATTTAAACACGATGGGGATGTTTCAGCCTGGAAATATGTCTCCACCATGAAATTGTCTTTGTTTAATTTTCTATTTTATTTTCTTATTTATTATAGGTATTTTATTTATGCAGCGTAGCTTCTAGAAGTATCGACCACCCAGTGAGGATCAAATTGATTACGGCATCTAAAAGTCCAGCTTACTAACCATTATACCCAAAAGACCTTAACCTAGCCGTTAGAGTAGGATGTGGGATGTTCATTCCAGCACTAATAATTTAAAAGTGCATCATTTTCAGCCAATGTGTTCATATCTAGGAGAGAAATAGCTTCTATGAAAAATAACAACATATATTTTAAATAATTGTGTAGGGATTATTAATGAAATATTTACCTATTTAATAGTGGCAGGTATAAACTTATTAGTATTTAATATACTGTATGATATATATTTGATGTCATACAAAATTTATATTCAACTATGTTTACATATGTCACTGTCCCACACAAACTATAATACATAAGAATACAACAAGTAGTGTGAACAGGGGAAAATTGAGATGGTTTGTAATGTTCCCTGAAGTGAAAACGGCCAGGCCAATGCTATCCTCTATATTCCTTGGCGGCACCGCCTGGTTTCAATTTGTTCACCCTACCGCTCAAGGCGTGTCGTGTCTATCTTTCATGCAGTTTACACATCAAATGGAGTTCGTCACCGCACAAACTGACGTAACTAAGCAGCTGTCACGTGATCCTCATGAATTCATATTCCCCAAAGGGAGATAATCGCTTTATGCATTCCTACAATATTATAATTTATAATTAGCAGTTAGCATAACGGTTTCTGAATCAGAATATCTGCTGCCATGCAGATACTGAACACTACTCTTTCATACAATAGCGATGGTTTCGTATACTGAAACAAATAAAATAATTCTATAGATGTCAGAAAAGCTCAGTGTGTCGGGTATTGGATAGATACTACATTGTGATACCGTATAAAAACTAGCAGGAAAAATAATATAGATATTACAAACATAGAAAAATTGTGCAGCAGCACGAAAGAGATGAATCTCCGGGAATTAACAAAATGGAAGTTAGCGTATTTTTTTTTTAAAGGTCACTTGCAAGAAACTGAAAATTCTGTTTGATTTAATAACTGATTTCTGTGGAGAGAAAATTTGATTCATCTATTATTTGCTTCTCTGCGAAACTGCAAATCAAAAAAAAATTATCTCACTATAACATTAGTTTCAGAGGAGGAAATTTCTTCTGGATAAAATGGTTCAGAATTTCTCAAGATCTGAGCATAGAAAAACCGACAAAGATGGAATAAAGCATTCAAATTTGTTCTCATGAATAAATCATTCAATGCCAACTGAATGGTTATTCTTTTAATACAAAATTCGACATTAAGTCAATCAGATCCTGATACTGAAAAGACGTTCAGTGTTACGACATTCGGGCGCTTGAAAAATCTCCCACTAATCTGTTTATTTCCATTTCTTTGTTTTGCTGTGATTAAAGATTGTGATTTAATAAAGACAAAAATGTTTTCTTCTCTGATATCGAATGGATTATTGTTTTTCTTCCGCATATAATCATTGGAAACAAACGCATTTCATTCTTCAAGAAAAAAAAACAGCAATCCAGAACCTTGACCAGATCAAGTGAAATTGAAAATGTATTAAACAATGAGAAGAATTTGAAATTTTTGTGTTTTATTTGAATAATATAATAATCATAATTTGGTAATGCTTTTAGAATAACTTAATAACATTAATAACCACTTAGTAATTCCATAATATTCATTATAATTTTTATAATAATTTAAATAATAAAAATGAATAAATAAATGAATATTAATTATTTTTGAGATTTTCTTTTATTATTATGTAATTTCCTCTGATAACTTATAAATTAAATTTTATTAATTTGATGTTTTTAAAATTCTCACTAAACAAAATAGTTTGTGTTTTGTGGCATATAAAATTCAATGGGTTATTTAATGCCGCCAAGATTTTTATTGCTGGTAATATTTTTTTTAATTTTCAAAAATCTTCTGTTATCTTTTCTTTCCTGTTCTTCAAACATATATTGCTGGAAATACTTTATTTCAAAAATCTATTGCTATTAATAATTTTTTTTTTCTTCAACACTTCAATAATCTTTTACGAAAATATATTGCTGGTATTAAAACGTATTTTTTACACTTCAATAGTGTTTTGAGCCCAGTTTAGGTATTGACTATTTGCCAATTGCTGGGACCCTAACGGTTGCTACCATCCCGGATCAGAGAGAACCTGGGAATACCAGCAAGTACTATGCTCCTCAAGAACTTCTCAGAGCTCTTGACGTTGGATATAGAAAATCGCCTTACTCAAGGCGCCGATATAGTTTATCGTCATACCCAGGACGGTCGGCTCGTTGATTACCATTTTCCATCCGGCTAACCATTACAACACTCATGCCTGGATCCACAAAAGAAAGTACCATTTTATAAAACAACCTCAAAAAGGGCAACGGCTATCGCTAACCGCAAAGAAATCTTTTTTAAAGGAAAAACTAAAATGGCTGGTATACTCATATTAAAACGAAAACAAAACGAACAGATAAATATAACAAATGTCATTTGTATCACATATTAATCAGATTAATGTAAAATTAAAGGAAACGACATATTTTGAGTATTTGCTATTATAAAACTTGGACTTATTTATACTATTAGCATTGTTCAGACTGCTTAGTACGTTCCGGCCTTTTTACAGGTGATATACATTTGAATTTCAAACCGAACATATTATTTACTTTTTGTTACCCTTCCTCAGCTTTTCTTGTTGTCTCAGTTTTCAGTAAATATCCTTTAGTAACTCAATTCTCCAAGTTTTTTTCTCACCTCTGCTGTAGCCAGGTATTGGACGCACAACTCTTTGAGTCAAGTCACTTTTGGATTACATCAATCAACGTTTGGATTTCTGCAACCATACTCTGGTACATGTGTCTTTGGGGACCAAATTGTCCGATAAAGATGAGGACAACAATCCGAAATAAGTAAATAGTTAAAATATTTAATCTCAGAAATACAGAGAAATCTTGAACTATTTCCACTCTTCCACATCACCTGATTGTTAACCACGTGCAACACAGAAGGATGACCATCACTAAAAACATTGAGAAATATAGATAGATATAATCGATACAAAACCAACATTTCTATGTTGCTGGGAACAATAAAATTATACATATATTTACCCATGCTAAAAGCATTTTCGAGTACCCCTCTGATATCTGTGTCATAATTGTCTTGTTAAATAATTCTATCACTTTTGAGTTGATTTAATACTGATCAGGTTAATAAGTAAGTCATCATCTATTTGTCGTCTCCTTTCAGGGCTTGGGCGATTTTCATGACTAACCAGTGAATATCAAATTTACAACCCTAATTAATTCACTATGTATTCTAGAAATTTTAACAATAAATTTATGATTCAAAGAAAAAATGCCTTTTTGTTTTCATTTCCCTATAAACGACCTCCTTACTAATATGATTCCTCCATGATATTTTAAGCATCCTTCTGTAGAACCACATTTCTGTTGCCACAGATCTCCTCTTCATCTGGGAGAAAATTCATATATGAAAAAAGAACAGGTCTTCACTAGCTGAAAATTTATGGTGTCTTCAGATAAATTTTTGAACTGATTCAGTCTTTCCTATCAAATCGTGAAATGGAAGTTATTCTGAACGGGTACACTTCTAGATCCTTTTGTACTAATGCAGTTGTCTACCAAAGGCTATATCATTGGTTCTATTTTGCCTTTAATTTTCAAAAGGACTTTACCAATGGCATCAGCTCTGAACTTGGTATCTACATTGATGATATAGCAAGTCGGATCTGTTTGATCAGGTCAAAATGGCAGCTGATTCGTAAAAAGACCTTCAGAATGTTGTCAACTGAGACCAAAGACGGCTTGATAATTTTAACGCGTCTAAAACTAAACTGACGTCTAATAGTTATCTTAGAGACATATCTCTGCCTGCTATCAGCATGGAAGATGCTGATCTCCAGGACAGTGACGCATTTCACCTACTCGGCCTGCCATTCTGGGATATGAAGAGAAACGACGATATTGAATCCATTGCTAGTTCATTTACTAAGAAAGCTGGTTCCCTGTGTTGTGCTAGACAATTTTTCTTACAAATCTATACACCGACGTGCTGCCACAGAGGAACCGGTGCTTCTGATGTAGAGATCATTTTTTAAAATCCTAAGAAGAATCAGTAATATTAATGATCTTGATCAGGCAGCTCGGTTTCAGTCACTTTCCCATCGCCGTAAGGTTGCCGTCCTGTGCTTTTTCTATAAATACTATCGTGGTAATCGTTCGGATGAACTCTTCGCTTGGTATCTCAAGATTTTTTTTAATTTAATCGCTGTATTATACTGGCGACGAACCTCATCAATTTACAATGGAATTGGCTAGATTTACCCGTAAATTCTATGCTAATACTTTCATTTCCGCATTTCTCCCTTGTGGAACTTCCTTCTGGCTCTGTGATTCTCAGACAATTTTAATCTGCAAAAAATTAAATTCCCTCTTTCTAACTGCTTCCTCACCAACTAACCATTTGTGTCTTAGTGGATTTATTACCTTGCTTGTTGTAAATGTGATTAAAAAAATGAATTTAGAAATAAAATAAATGTTATCACTCTTTACTTTGTTTGAAATACAATTTTCCTGTTTCTTTATACTTTGTTTAGGTTTTGGAAGGCATTACAGTATACAACCTATTCTGAACGCATGAAACGATTAGTAAATATTCCGAAAAGAAGCATGTGAAACGCATTCGTTTATCCTGAGAGTCCTTCACATTATTGCGCCGGCATGGACTGTTCCTTCTTAGAAGAGAGGGATTTGAAATAATTTGTGCTAAATAGCTCCCTATCTCT